GAAAATTGGGTGTTACAGATTGCAGGGTGAACTGAGTTCTATATCCGTTTACTTCAACTCTGACGCAACCAGCCTTTGACACTTCTTTGCCTGTCAACCGTTCCTTCACCCACGCCAGCCACCTCATCTGGCTGGCCTGAATTACGGGAAAGTGATCCATATCTGCGTATGTGAGCATTTCGAGGGATTCTTGGACATGCTCCTCTGCCATAATGATGCACGTGTCGTCAACAGCCGATTCAACTGAGCTTAGGGGAACTACTACATCGGTCTCACCGGCAATAATCAACAGGGGCCCAATGAATTTCTTTCCCCCGCTTTCGGAGAGAGACGCAAACTTTTTGACGGCATCATCTTTTGTCCAACCGGGTCGGGCGAGCTGATTAAGCGGAACGTCCCCGAAGACCAATCCATCCGTCGGCAAACATCCTTGCAGCGGCTTAACAACATTGTGCCATCTGTCATATGAGAGGGGGGTCATGCCCGAATCGTTGTATGATGGAAACAAGGAAGTCACCGCTGTGATTAACTTTGGCTGAGCACTTAGAATGACTGGTGCGAACGGCAGCGATGTGTTGGCTATTGCCTGCTCTAGCACATCGATCGTCCGCGTGGGTGGAGCGATAGCAACGGCGCCTCTATAACCTCGCATGGGATTCTCGACCAGCCGCTCTGCAAATGCCCACACAGCGCCAGCCCCCTGTGAATGACCGAGAGCGACGAACGGTCCATCAGCACGGAAGTTTGCGGGAAATGCGGCTCGAGCAGCTGTGATGGCATGAGCCAGGTCGTGACCCTGCGAAGGACCCGAAAGCCTATTTGTAGTCAGTAATTTCAGTTGTGAGAATATGTAAAAGATGAAAGAGATTCGTTGGGGTTGAGTGAGAAGGGATCCCTTGCGTTAATGCAGAACCTCGTCGCGATACTCAGAACACGTCTGCATCACACACGAATAAAACGTAGAACTTGCTTACCATGGATGCCTGATGGGTTGGCCAGTAGGCAAGGAGTCGAACCCCAACCCAGCATAATCTGGGGCCACGACTGCAATACCCTGAAGAGCTAAGAGGAACGGGACCACTGTAAGGTCAATAATTAATAATTCCTCCCAAATTTGGCAACTGCCTTGAAACATGTATCCATGAAAAGATCTGGGAGGGGATATTCGAGTTTGTTGGATGTTCTGTGACGCTGTGCCAAGTCAGAATCGAATTTCAGAAATTACTTACTGAAATGATACTGCAAATTGCGATAGTTGCTTGGGGCGCAGTTTTTGAGGACACCTGAAGTGCCGTGAGCCCAGGCTACCATCGGGAACTCTATCTCTCGACCACTGCAAAGTCCACTGTTCAAAGGTGTGTATGGCCAGACAACGTAGGCATTGCTGGCAGCAAGGTACCATTAAGGTCCGTCGTTGTGTAGATTATCCGAGACATAGAAATGCCACTAGGGACGGCAAAATTTGATAAATCTGTGGCTTCTTCTACGCGAAGAATGCTTCCTGGTGCAAGGTCTGCAGAGAAATTTGATGGGACACTGTAGAATTCCATGTCCACAGAAGCATGCTGGTCTGCCTCCCAAGAGGAGCCTATTATGGCGAGGGCCTGACAATTTGCATCACAGGTGGTGCTGGCACTGAGATCTAGTGCTGTGGCTATGCCCAGACCAACAAGGAGCAGCAGGGAAGTCAAGAGTGAATATGGAGTCATCATTGCTATATCGCGCGCAAGCGATCTGGATTCTAAAGTTGACAAACAATGGCGGAACTCGCAAGTATTTATACAAGCTCCAAGACTTCTACAAATCAAGAAGCCACGACAAGCACGATGTTTCCATTGCCAATATAAAGCCTCACCTCTGCAGGCCGGACGGGTACGTGTGATCAACTAGACGCCGCAGCATCTAGACCTTAATACCTACGGAAATGACACCGTGGCATTAGTACAAATCGCTTCCATGTGTGGTTATTTGAAATATTTCCTATCCGAGTGCTCAGACCATCGGAAGACGTGGCGTGCTCGCGGCTCTTACAGCGGAATCAGTTCCATAAGTGTCTCACGTAGAATCTGTACGGTAAGCTAATTTGATGGTGATATAAGAAATTTATTTGTCATGGCCGCTTACGCTGGCGTATAAAATCCTTCCCATCGCTGGCCTAGTAGATAGAGTGACCAATTTAACGAATCCAATTAGCTTGATTATGGCAATACGCATAGTTCCTCCTCGATCATAGCCCTACCCAGAATAAGAATACTAGCTACTCGCCCATTGTGGTCGGATCTCAAGAGTGTGGCCTCATCTAGAGACTCAATAGGACGACGGCTTTCTCGGTGGTGTGGTCTCCTCGCCAAGAGAGAACCAAAAATGAGGTATCTTATATTTCCAGGAACATCTTTACCGTAGGCATCGAAGGTGCTTATGGTTTGATCATGAAGTGAAACTCCTCCCGCGTTGCCAATTTTAAAGTGGCTTACATTACGCAGTATTGCACGCTAGTTTGCAGTCCACGCCAGTACGTCCGCATCAAAGCAGCTCACAAGCGAATACGCAACTAGACCCACGCAGCAGGTGCGCACACGCCTCGCGAGTAGCCCGATAGGATCAGGGTTATGTTCCAGACAAAATGGAATACCGTGCCGGATATCATTGGCAAACGTACAGGAAATACCAGATGAGGCCAACGTCGCTGTCTCATACGCATTATATCCATGTCGTAAGTAGTTTCGCAGATTATGAGAGGCAACAAGTATTATCGCACCATTTTCTCAGTTGATAACTCGTAGATTAGGCATTCATTACAATTTAGCCCAAAAAGATTTTTTTTTTTAAGAAAAAATTCAAAAAGGGTTTGCCTGCTCTTCTCGAGGTATTATACATGCGTAGTCGCTAGACTGACTACCGCTATAATATCAACGAGTAGTATATCCACCATTTGCGAAGATGGTCTGGCCGGTGATCCAGGTGCCCTCGGTACAGAGAAACCTGACAATGGGGGCAATATCTTTTATATCGGTAAGTCTATTTCCAATAGCCATGCTTTTGTGAAAAGCGACGGCGTCGTCCGATTCTTGGGGGTAGAAGAATGCTGTACGAAGACAGCTTAATCAGTAAAGAGTAAAGACTTGGGGAAAGCAGTCGACTCACGGGTGTCCATTGGACCAGGTGCTATAGCGTTAACGCTAATACCACGGCCTTGCAGTTCCTTTGCAGCGCCTCTCGTGAAGTGTTCGACCGGGGCCTTCGAACCAGCATACGATGTGTACAGACCCGTGAATGCAGCCAATAACGATGTTACGATGGTGATTAGTTTGCCGCCATCCCCTACGTTCTTGGCACCAGCTTGAAGTATGAAGAATGCAGCCTTAGAATTTATGCTAGATGCTCATGTCCGTTAGATCATTAATTGAATGGTGCTTCATATAAATCCTAGGTGAGCAGATATATTGTACTCACGCAAACACTAAAGAACGCATGGTTAACAGATGCTCTGTTCAGATTTTTGAGGGGAAGAGGGCGGATATTTTCGTGGATTTGCCATTTTTGTAGCTCGCAACATGACCATATTCTCTGTGATTCAACATCAGGAGTAACTTACTTTCATCGTACTCGGCTTCTGAGATCTCGGCGATGGCCTTCTTGAGAACTTTGCCAACTGTGTTGACGACGATGTCGATTCTCTCAAAGTCTTGTATCACCGAGGCAAACAATCCATTGACCGCTGCTGCAGTGATCAAATTCGCCTGATAAAAGACTACCTTAACTTTTGGAAAGGAGTCTTGGAGGCGACGTTGCATGTTGATGGCTTCCTCCTTGCTTTTGTCCGAGTTGTAATGAAGTGCAAGATTAGCACCTTGTCCGGCGAGTTGAAAAGCAATCTCAGCGCCGAGGTTCTTCACACCTCCCGTGATAAGGGCGGTCTTGCCTGACAACATGACCGTAAATGGGTACCTTGAAGTTGGATAAAAGAGCTCCTTTGGGGATCAGTCGAGCATGGCTCGTTCCTGGCCAGCATCTTTTCTAGCACCCAAGCTTGCTGGTCCTTTTATAGGGCCAACCTCGATCAGCAGAAGAATATCCCCTGTGTAAGTCATCGCTTTGCCAAATTGATGGAACCTAGCTAATGAGCCTTTTGCATATTCTGAATCGGGTAAAGTCTTGTTCTGAAGCGCCATCGCACTAATGTCGTCAAATGCATTCGCCCTTTGCGGTAAATGGTTGCGCCGATCATGGGCCACACATTCCTTCTTTCAGAGCAAGTCAATTCATAGTATCAGCTGAGTTTGAAAGTGACCATTGATGAACATGAATGATGATAGAAAGCATAATCACATTGCCCGATACTGTGGTTTGGAATAAAGGCCCGAGGATGAACTGCATACCGCCGCAAGGATAAAAGTACAAGCCCCACCAGGTAGCCTTGAGACAGAAATTGTGATGTCAAGGGTCCGCCACAGCACCCAATCAACGTTGCGCATCATTGGAATTTCAGCTGCGGCTGGGAAATCCCTCGGTTTTGCAGCTTGAATTTTAGATCGATGATCAAGCAGCTGACACCGATCAAGCACTGCAGGCCATGGCTCACCAAACATTCGAGTTCATCGTCATTGACGAGACCGGGAAACCCCAGAGCGGGTTAAAGAGAAAGGTCCGATCTCACTCGTCGCGAGTTGGCTGGGCGCGGCATTCGAAACCCGATATCCAGCGCCATCGGCAAAAGAGAAAGCGACCGTATGAAAGTACCACATACATTGGAACCGAGCAACCATATAGCGAAGATAGTTCTTCGCCCATACTAACTCTGCGCCCGAACTCGTTTGAGCTTCTCCTGGATCGGCGTTTTGGGGGTGTGCGCTTGGATCCTTTCCAAGCATATCCCCCTGTCCGGTGGGCATCCTTCATCCCGTCACTCGTCGACCACTGTAAGCAACAGGTCCATCGAATTATTCGCTTTAGACAGTTTGCTATATCTAACTCTTCGCCATTTCTAAGATATTGTCCACATGGCGGTGGATATTCCAGAACTCGACCAACCTGGTTCTAGTGGTCTGCTCCGTACTCAATGGTTCCCTCTGGTATTGAGCGAATCAGCCGCGTTTCAAATCATCCTCCTGTTGTCTGCATCCAACTTCGCAGTTGTCAGTTCTGCGGCAGCTACGGGTATCCGACCACATTTGCTGCAGATGAAGTGCGATGCGATTCGTGCAATCAATGAGGCATTTCTTTCCGAGGACAAGCGACTGAGCGATGCGGTAATAGGTGCTGTGGCTAAAATGGCTAGCTACGAGGCCATCAACGGGACCAGAGAGGCATATCAGGTTCACATGGCAGGACTTGAAAAAATGGTCAGCATTCGAGGCGGTCTTTCTGCCCTCGGACTCAATGGTCTCCTTCGACGAATCATTGTGTGGATAGACATCAATTCTGCTATCCTGCAGGGGACACCTCGCTTTTTCCCTAAGGCCACATTCACAGGGATTGAAGGTGGCCGATATGACGATGAGTCCAAGGGCCCCGAAGCGAATCTAGAGCGATTTGTTGCCATTTAGCCTTGGGAGAGTCTTGTCTAATGACAGATGATATCCGTCCCTAGCAAATGCCTCCCTGCCGCCGGGCAGTACGGTCAGGAATGAAATAATTGATGATTAAACAAGCTTTTGATCTTCACATGTCCAAATAGCGGGGATACATCGTGTACATCGTATGCTTCAGGGTCCCGGGATCTGAGACCTTGATGTGGTTTGATGTTTCACGGAATCTGAAGCGGGTACGCTTCCTCGGGGTAGCCCTTTTTTTTTGGTGTTTTTTTGTTTTTCTTTGGCACGTAATAATTTTATACGATTAATGCCCGGATGGATGTCAAGACCGGATTTCAATGCATGCATGCCTCCACAAACTCTAAATGTTTTGAGGTTTCTCTGCATGCCATGGTAAGAAAGACTTAATGACTTGCTGGCCTCACATGTTAAGGTAGGCTGTTATTTCGTAGAAATGGTGTGAGATAGAGTCGTATTCTTTGCCGATAATAAATTTTGCGAGCTTGTATTGAAGCTCGATGTGAGATTTACCCCTACTTTGGCTAATTATGCTATGACTATGGTGTAAAACAACGTGACAAGCAATCTCAACTTATTGTTGTGTTGATCCTAAACAGTAATGATACTGAATGTTTGTAGCCCAATTATATCACAGCAATTGGATGTGTCAATGTTATGTGGTATCAGGCGGCACCAGAAAACTTCGCTGTCTCGGAAGTATTCTCCTGTCCAACTCTAAGATTTATGTGTTATAGGATTGATCAATGATAAGGGTAGGGTTGCCAAAACCATAGTGGCAGTACTGACAATAGAGGATATGGAACAGGCTTGGTGGCCGAGGTTCGCAAGAGAAAACCAAACCGCCTGATAATTTCACAAATGATCACACACCTAAGCTCATCTAGAGATATTTAAGAACAGGTACTAACTCTCGATACATTAATGCATCTGAGAACACATAGGCAGCCACGAATAGTCGTCGAGAATATCTCGGTTCGTAATAGGGATAATTGTGAAATTGAACCATGCGGGTAGCTAGGCGAAACTCACTCCACTTAAACCTGCAAGGCTGTGGAGTTTGTATTGAATTTGGACGGCTCAGACACTTACCACAACACTAACTGCGCGGAACGGGGTCTAGTTCACCGAAGGTCTTAGGACTATATGAGATGCTGTACTAGTGCGACAATTGTGCAAATCAGGGCAGAAATGTCGCCATACGTCATCTCCACCATGACAAACAGACAGTAGACACTCCCACGGGCAAAAATTCTTCACCGGCAGCATTAGCAAGTCCTCCAGAGAGACTACAGCTCTCTATCTCAAGCACGGGGCCCTGAATACGGGTTGACAGAATAAGGGGTAAATCGCCATTCGCCATGGACAACGCATCTATCAGAGCTGGTGACTTGTTCGATGTATCAGGACTTGTCGTTGTTGTGACAGGCGGTGGAACAGGTAGAGCTTCCTCTCCTACTGGAGGATACCCGAACTAACGTGCTTGTAAAACCGGTAGGGATTGGACTGATGATCGCGCAGAGCCTCGAGGCGAACGGTGCAATTGTCTACATAATTGGTCGCCGTAGAGATGTTTTGGAGCAGGCCGCCAAGACTGCAGTGAGGACTCCCATTTTTTTCGAAAATGAGTCATTGGCCAGTTTGCTAAATGAGCTCTTCAGAAACTTGGCAATATTCGTCCGATTCAAGGTGATGTGACGAACAAGATTGATCTACAGCGTGCGGTCTCCGAGGTCAGTTCCAAATCGGGATTCGTCAACAGCCTTATATGCAATGCTGGCATCAACGGACCATCACTGTCAAGCATGCCACCCAATCCGACTTTGGCGCAGTTCCGTGATCATGCGTGGGCCTGGGATACAAATCACTTCAACGAAACATTTGCCGTCAATACGACTGCGGTGTTCAACACGGCCATTGCATTCCTCGAGCTGCTCGATGCCGGGAACCTGCATGGCGGACTGGCTCAGAGGAGTCAAATTATTGCGACCAGTAGTATCGGTGCGTTCAACCGGTCACCGCTCGCAGGTTATGCATACAGTGGTGCGAAAGCTGCTGTTGTTCATATCATGAAACAACTTGCAACATCACTCGTTCCATATAATATTCGGGCCAACGTAATTGCGCCAGGTTGTAAGTTCACACGTCTTCTCGCTGTATGAATCGTCATATTTAAACGCATGTCGTCCTTTCTCCCCCACCCTCAGGGGGGCGCGCGAATTAAAAGGCACTGATCTCACCATGCTTGCAGTCTACCCGAGTGAGCTCACACAACACATGATCGCTGCGAGAAGAGAGACCGGTTGGCCCAAAAGCATAATACCAGAAGAACGCCCAGGCGATATACAAGACGTAGCAGGAGCCGTTTTATTCTTAACGAGTAGAGCAGGCGCCTACATTAATGGCAATGTGCTGATAACAGACGGCGGCCGCTTAGGTGTTATGCCGGCGTCATATTAATTCGGTTCGTTTACCGCGTGCCGACCCCACCCCTTAGTGCTTGATCCTGACCTGACGGTATTGCCTCGCGGTGATACTGGTGTGTGGTTTACTATGTAAGAAGAGACGCCGAGATTGTGGGGTGGCGGGATTATGGGGTAATGACTTAATCCGAGTATGCTCTTTCACGGGGAAGAGCAACAGTGATGGATCTTCTTGTATTGATTAGACAATGTTCAAAATGCGGCGTAGAGGGTATTCGAAAAGATCGTTGTGAAGGATTAATAAAATCTTATCATCTAAGACGAAAAAGTCGAGGCATTTGCGGTCTTATGGGAATCCAGGGCATGGAATCGAGTCCACGGGTCCACAAAGACAATATCGCCGATGCCTACACAAATACTCGGGAAATGCTTTTAAAACGAGTTCGGATGTGCAGAGCGATACAAGGAAATCCTTTTGCAGAGTGCTAACCTTTTGAAAAAGGGTTTGAACCATCTGGAGAAGAGAGTTTGGGTAAGAGATGATTACTTGAAGATGTTTACTTAAACTTGCTTTCATAAATACACATGGTATGGAGCATGTTTGACTGAGTCATAGCACTCTATTTGTTCTTGCTGACAGGCTCTTCATATAATAGTAATGAGAAGGAGTCGGAACCCAGCAACTATGTTGTCATATCATTTACTTGCCTGTACATGTAGTATCATCTGAAACGGTTTCTACCACAAAATTTCCAAGGGCGTGTCTGGTTTTCGATTCGACTGACTAATATCTTTCTCGTGGCTGAATGCCGAACAAGGCAACCCGTGGTCTATCGTTGCAAACCGACTGCTCATATCATTGCCGTGCTGGGACCAGGTGACACGACAGGCACTTAACTGCTTCCTTGACCAATAATAAGGGTCCGGAGGCGTGTGCCAGCAACTGTAGGCAACTGTGGCATTGCTGCACTGCCTATCAGCCACTGCTGACGGTCGCGTTCCATAGGGCTTCTGATGCCCTGATTGGCGAGTCTACGGATCTGGTGGCGCGGAGAAGGGAACTGTACCAGGCGACCGGCGGCGAATTCGCCTGCGACAGACGGCAGAAGGCAACACCAAAACGGAACGAATAGGCAGGCCCCTCACCGGGAAGAATTTTGCACTTCAACATTTAAAGAAAATAGGAATGGAGCTGCAACTTGGTGTTCGAACCAAACTTCGATAGACAGAAGCTGTGAGGTTCGTGTGTGGTCGTTCGTCAACAGTCAGCAAGGTCTCAAAGGATTGCCGCGATGGAGGAGCAACACCAGAAAAAGAAAGCCCGCTATCAACCTGTCAGCAACACTTGGTTGGAATTGGAGAATGACTCGTCACGCGCCCATTCCCCGGAGTTTCATCACATGCTCTTTGCCAACGAAGGCATTCATGACTCGGATGCGTGCCCCCAAACCACTCTATGGTTGTGGACTCCTGAGATTTTGTCTTTGCTGCTCGGAGCGGCGTGCGTTACAAGTAGTCCAGTCTTCGATGCCGCACGATCCTGTTCGTATCTGGAGCTAACTGTCAATCAGCCATCATTGCCGTCCTTGTCTCCGTCAACGACAGTCCACCTCCACAATGGCCGCTGAATGTGACTCTCAATACTTTTTTGGCTTTCTTCACGTCACTCGCGAAAGTGACTTATATGCTGCCGGTTGTTGCTGGACTAGGCCAGCTCAAATGGATGTGGTTCATGGCTCGACACCGACCTCTTGTTGACTTCCAGGTATTTGATGAAGCGAGCAGAGGGTCGTGGGGGTGTCTTAAACTCGTGTTCCAGCTCAGAGGGTATGCTTCTCTGATCCATTGGAGACACTATTCGATCGGTTGACACAGCTGCTTATGATTCCAAGAGTACTTGCTTGCCTCGGAGCATTGATCACCCTGAGTAGCCTCTTCACATCTACCATCACTCAGCAGGCAGTGGAGTTCCAACAGCGTCAAGCTGAGACAACCATCGGCACCGCCGAGGTCCAGCGAGCGCAGACGTTTTCTTTCTACAATGGAAGCGACCAGATACTCGGTACGAGTTCCCTTACACTAGAGGTGTTTGAAACTTCCTAGTAACTGACTTGTTCTACCTCTCAGTCCCTTATGATACTCATCGTGAGAAGCATGCTCTTGTGGATGGGGCTTTCTTCGTTCCCAACGAGACAATAGCACATATCAGTCCCACTTGCTCGTCTGGCGACTGCACATGGGAGCCATACGGTTCTCTAGCTCTATGCAGTGATGTTGTGAACCTCACAGCAACGCAGAACGAAACACTTCTAGCAGACCTTCGGAACCAGACCATGACTGAAATATTCCAACTTTTCAATGCAACGCTGTCCTCCAATAGCCACCTAGCATACGGCAGCATGATCCTGCCCTCGATACCTCCTGTCTATCCAGTAATAGTGCACCCTACGGCCGGCCCAACCGGGATGTTCAACGCATCTATCAACGAGCTCATGGCCAGCGACAACATCGTGGCATACTCAAACACACTTATGACCAACTCGTCAGTTGACACAATTGAGCTCTACTTCCTCGAACACGTGTCATACTGGTGCACAAAGGCTCTAAAAACCGTCGTCCACAACGGTGAGGCCTCGACCACAGAACTCGAGTCCAAGGCCAAACCAATGCACTCCATCCACTACCCGCTCAACTTCGCGTGGACGCCCGATTTTGGGGTGTGCTATCCAGCAGGCACATGCAACGCCAGCTTCGGCGGGCTCACAGTAGATCTAGAACCGCCGTCGGTCGACAAGTCTGCTGCCACCGACCAGCCAGACCGCTACATAGTCGACATTTGGGCGTCACTCATCGCGTCTGCACTAATATCTGATTCCAGCTACGGCGGCGTGCTGCTCGACAGCACGCGCGGCTTCGTGGCGTCCAGCGGTGGCAGTCTGCCGCAGGCCTTTGCCATTTCGCTGTTTGGCGACTTCATGCAGACGGGCGTGCCGCCGGCCGAGACCCAGATGAGTAACGTGCGCGGCATGTCGTTTAATATGGCGCGGTCACTGACGAACTTGTATGTTAACGATCTCCCCCACCCCCAGATATCGAGATGAGCTTTGCGCTTGGGCTTCAGGCATGACTGACGCTCAGGTCCCCGACAACCAGAGCACGACAGACCATTACGCACAAACTCTTCAACGCCGCCGCCACGCCCGTACTTTCTGGCACCGTGTTCGCGCCACAGACTTATGTACATATTCGATGGCCATGGCTGTCGATGCTCGCGGCTCAGCTGGCGCTGACGCTGGTGTTCATCGTCGCCACAATTGTTTCGACAAGGGCATCGGGTGTGCAGATCCTCAAGGGTTCATCGCTAGCGACCATGTGCGGACTAGATAAGAACACCCGCAAATACCTAGGAGACATTAACGACCTCAAGAAGCTGGGCGGCCGAGCAGAGGATGTCAGGGTCAGGATGGAGAAGGGGAGCTCGGGGATGGCACTATGGCTAGCCATGGAGAAGAAAAGCGGATGGCGTGAGACATGGCAGCCGGTGCCAAGCTGGGGCGTACACTCGATGGAGTCACGTGAGCGAAGTATACACATGTAAAATATACTGGAGATGGGTGCAGATAGGGTCTGAGAAATCAATATATAAAGAGTATAATAGCCCTAGGTATGGCTTCTAGGGAGCCTTATTACATTGTGAAATATAAAACCGATGTATATTATATAGTGTCACAGCCAGAAAACCTGACCACCCCACAGGCACCTACGATCGATAGCCTAACGAGCAGAGCGAACAATCACATATAGATAAGATAAGAATAAATAGGTAAAAAAGGTAGCTTATCAGAAATTATCAAATTATTAGTAAGCTATAAGTAAATCTTAATGATTTAAATATTTTATAGTTATATATAAGTTTATATTTATAATCATAAGCTTAGAAATAAAAAAACTACCTTTTTAGCTTTTAAGTTTTTTTTATTTATAAGAAGATTCTTAGAAAAATAATTATTTATTTTTGGAAATATTATTTAAATACTTTTCGATTTACCCTAAAATATAATATAACGATCCTTCCTATCAGTACGTCGATAAGTAGCTAAGAGTCCTTAGGTTTATATCTTAAAATAAGTCGAAGGATACTTAAGCAATATAATATATAAGATAATCATAATCCTAAGAATCTTCTTATAGATAAGAAAACTATAATTAAAAGCTAAAGAGCTAGTTTCTTTATCTTTAAACTTATAGTTATAAGTAAAGTCTTATATAAAACTATAGTATATTATAGCTTACTATTGCTTATAATAGCTTACTAATTTATAAATAACTTTTAGTAAGTTAATCTTATCTTATTTATATATAATTAATTCTTATAAATATCTATTATAAAGTTTTTAATCATAGTTTAGTTTTTAGCTATAATATAATATTTCTTCTTTAAGGTTAATATTTTAAAGACTTAGGTTTAATATTTAAGTATTATTTATTTAGTAAGTTTTAAAACTATCTTTTTTATTTTATTAAAATATTAATATTATATTAGATTATATAAAAAAGTCTTAATTAAAATTTATCTTAAATTATTTAAAATTTATATTATTAATTAAAAAGCTTAGCTTTAATATTATATTATATTATATTAATATTATAAAAAGAAAAGTTTAAAATATAAAATAATAAAAAAATTAAAAAGTATAATAACTATATTAAAGTTAGTTAGATTTATAATAAATTGACAATATCTTTTAATTTTAATATATTAAGTTTTATTATATAGTTTTTACTTATTAGTTAATTAATTATAATAAATTAAATTATCTTAGAAAAATATCATCTTAAATATAAAGAATATTTAATAGAAAAAGATTTATTTAATCAGATTTAGCTTAAATTACTCTATCCAATATACTATAAGATATATAATAAGATATAATATCATTGTCTCTCTTCACAATAATTAATTTAATATAATAAAATGTTCTTAATCAATAGTTCTTTTTCTAATGCCTAATAACTCACTTATAGACTTTTCTGATAGGACCAACTGATAGTAATAAAGAGGCTTTTATGGCAAAGAGTATTAAGGTCTCTGACAGTTGTGAAGAGATTATAATAATAATGATAATAATATATAGATACTCTATCATATACTGATAGGGCCTTGAGCTCTTATAGTTAAAAAGATGCTATCATCTTTATAATAACAAGCTTTAAGGCTCCTACCAGTAGTGAAGACATATAGCCTTAAGAGCCTTGACTATGCTATATAATATTGCCTCTGACAGTATTAAGCGTTCAGTCGTAGCCTTAATCTCCTTGACAGCATATCCTTAGCGGTAAGCCTATACGCTCACCTTGAAAGTCGGCGTTTTATATACTAGGAAGACAGTATCTAAAGCTGTCAACCACTGTAAACCTTATTTACCTTGCAACTCTAGTTGAGTGTGACAGTCTTAACCATAGCCTTCGTGAACTCTATCATACTTTAACCAAGAAAAATTCTCAGGCTTATTAAGTCACCCTATGCTAGCTAGTTTATCGAAGATAATCTTCTATTTATATATATAAAGGGCGATACTATATAAAGTTCCTATCATCTACTATATCTATAGACTTTGCTACTATAAATACTAGAGATATTTATAAAGACTTAAAAGACTATAGCTACTACTAAGGTTTTCTAGTCATTCCTATCATTATATCTATAGTCAGAGTTTACTATCCTCTTTTTTTAAAAGACTTAAAGAAAAGAAATAAGAAAGAAGAGTCTTATAAGTTTTTATTTATTATTTTATCTTTTAATAAAAATAAAAATAAACTTAAAAAGCTTAATAATAAAATAAAACTTAAATATTTATATAAAAAATTTAAGAAGATTTAAGCTAGCTATAATAAAAATCATAATTTTAATTATATTTTCTATTAAATATATAATTTAAAAAAGAAGAAAAAGTTATATAATTTTACTAAAAAAGAGAAAAACTTTTTGATTTCTCTTAATAATGCTAAGAATTATTGCTTTAATGATTGATAGTTATATCTTAATGCTAACTAAGTAAGCTAGATATAAAGGAGCTACTAGGAAATCTAAAGTTATATAGATAAAGAAGATTCGAAATTGTTTGAAGATATATAGACTTTTGTTTATAAAGAAGGGTTGCTTTTTAAAATCTATAGAGTAGATATACTATAGATATTGTTGAAGGCTATAAACATAGTTAGCTAACGACATACTTGGTAGATTAAAATAGTTGTTGAATAAACGTAGTCACCCTCTAAGATAATGCATATAGTGCCTAGATCATATGACTATATATATAAGGTGTAGGCAAGTGGTACCGGCTGGCTTATGTAAGTTCTGTTAGTTAAGCTATATAATATATATTAGTTTCATACTTTACAACATAATAAGGCTTCTTTAAGGCTATGCCTAGAGTTATTAATCAATCTATCTTAAGGTTTTTAAGTTTAATATACTTTTCTTATCAATAATAAAATATCTAATTTTTATAAATATATATTATAATAAATTTAATATATTAGATCTTTTTAATAAAAGATAATAGTTTTTATCAATAGAAAGATAAAGTAAAAAATATAAAGTCTAGCTATTAATTTAATTATTAGTTATATTAGTAAAAACTATATAAAAGATTAAAGACTTTTTATTTAGATAAGCTTACTAAAAGTAAGAAGAGAGTATACTGATTATATATAATTTATTTATATTATTATCGTTATCAATCTAAAGAAGGATTAAGTTAGTTTTTAGCTATTATCAATAGCTTATAAAGGTATTATATACTAGCTACTATTTTTTATTTAATTTTTTTTAATTTTTAAAAAGTATATCCTTAATATTGTTTATCTTTAGCTAGTTATCTTTTAGTTTATTTTAGTATTTACTAACGTTAAATTCCTTATATAAGTATTTTATAATATATAGTATTTAGTTATAGTTAATATTTATATTCTATTATCTTAATAGATTTATTATCTTTTCTTTTAGTTAAAGCTTAGAAACTATTCTAATAATCTTCTACTAGTTTTTTAGGCTAATATCTTTATTAAATAATTCTAAATAAAACTTATTTTTATTAATCTTTAGATTAAATACTTTAATATTGTTATAATAATTATCTTTAAAAATATAATATTCTTTATAGTATCTATAGATAGTAATATAGTTATTAAAGTATATATTATTAATATTAAGAAATCTATTATAATTATAATAAAGATAATTAAAAAGAAGCTTAATATAATAAAAGTCTAAAAATTATATATAGTTTGGAATTGTAACGATGTGCTATGCCGCTACGCCAGGTGGCAAAAGGTAGGCATTGAATGCAACGATTGTAGTCAATATAGCACAATAGTAGGCCTTATAAGAGTCACTCTCTTACAAGAATCAGCTTACATTATAGGAAATAGTATAATACCTTTAGCTTTACTAGAGTCTACTACTTTTTTTAATTGCTTTTGTTAGAAAATTTATAGTTTTACTACTTAAGAAACTAAAAGTAGATAATATTCTCTATATCTTTAAGCTAGTTTAGATACTTTTTATATAATATCTTCTTCTTTTATATAACCTTATCTACCTTAGAAAACTTTAGTATATAGCTATATCTATCTAATAGCTGATAGTAGGGTTGGTAATTAGTATACTAATTTAGCAAATACTATAAATATAGTATATTAAATTAGTATTACTATAATTCTAGTATACTATAAATGTAGTATTACTAAATTAGTATTATTATATTTATAGTATACTACAAATATAGTATACTATAATTAACATTTACTAATACTAATACTATAGGTTATTTATATATATAAATACTTAAATCTCTTTTAAAGCTAGGTAACTTTACCATCTATAAGCCTATTCAATTTCTCTCTTTAATATATAATCATTTACTAAGTAATCTAATTTTTTAGTTAGTTTTTACTTCTATATCATTTATCTCTGAATCTACGTAGTGATTTTAAAATTAGTTTTTCTAAAAGTGCTATTTACAACTTTTAAAATAATACTATTTTAAAATTACTACTAAAAATCCAATTTTTACTCTTTTTAAGTACTAATTTTAAATATCAATAGTATTATTAGAATACTACTAATAATATTACTACTTTTAAACTAATTATAATATTTAATTTTATATAGTAAAAATTATTTATTTTTTAAATTATATATTATATGAAATAGCTAACTAATTATTTAAA